GTGTGAGTCACGTTAAAGTGTACATATGAAAATAGATGAAACTAGACCTATTTTTATCGACAAAAAAAAGGTAAAAAAAATTTTGAGATTTTTTTTTATTTTTTTATAGAATTTTTTTTCTTCAAATTACTTATTGTAAAGAAAACGTAATAACTTTTAAACTAAGCGGTATATCCTGATAAAATAAAAACAGTAATAATGCTAAATAACAGGCAACTAATAGACGTAGACTAATAAATTTACATTCGTTTTGTAGAATAGCTCAAATACTAATAATACAATGCAAATAAAACATACCTTAACGACCTGGTTTTTCTTGTGTTGGAAAATAACTGAAAAAGAAGTGAAAAAAGACATGTTTTTTTCTAATTAAATCCATTCTTACTCCCTTAAAATGTATGAAACTTGTATCTGTTTTCTACTTCTGCTAATAGATAATTTTATTGGCTATCGCATGATATAAAATTTTTGCTTATTAGTGTTAAGCTACCCACGCTTTCACTTGTTTTTGAAGGAAGAGGTGAAAACTAAAAATTAAAAACTTAAATCCTCGTAATTTTGCGAGAAATGGGTCAAGCCCCAAATTTGAAGTATTTTCATCGATAAAATTGTCCATAGATTACGCCCTTAAAGTTTGATCACTACAAGCCCGGACACACTGTATAGTTGGGATAGGTACTGTAAGATAGGTATTTAGTACATAGTCAAACTCCTAGAAAGCCAGGTTCAACAACGCCGACCACAAATTGGTCCCGAACATGACGCCCGGCTAGTCTCTGCCTCGGTGTCTTGAAATTAACACGACTTTAATTAAATTGCCTGTTCGTCCTACACTAGAAGGTAAGGCATATGGTTAAGGGAAGGTAATATCAATTTTATTGCCCTTTAAGTACGTATGTATTTATCTCCAGAATAATAACAAAGAACGAAGAAATATTCGCGCCTATAATCGGAATTACTATTTTTGAAATTAAAACTTACAAAATATATCCTCTGAAGATTTTAAATCTTGTATTTAATGTTAAAAATTCGTTCGCAAAAACTCTCTTAGCAACGTAGTATTACATTACATAAAGTTTCGGGAAAACAAACCTAGGTAAAGTAGGATAGTAGTAACGTATTTTAGCACACTGGAAGATTTAAAAATTTTAAAAGCAAAGGCTAACTTTTGAAACATTCGGCTTTATTCGGATATTTTTTCAGATGTATCACGAATTTGATTGGGCCTTTTCGCGGAACACCATGTTTGCCGATTCCATCGCGATCCGTTGCTGGCACTACACTGTACTTTTTTATATCTCTGGTATGTAAGCCAGGTGCCGACGCACCTGTCAAAATAAATATTCCCTTTTAAAGCGAAAAATTGTGGAGAAAATCTATGCTAAAAGTTGTTCATCCAAGCCGATATTGAACAAAGAATTGTGAATTTCAATGAATACGCTTATGGAATGGTCCTAAATATGAATGGAAAGAGTTCGTTACATAATAAATATTATTTAATGCTTTCACCATTTCAGAGTAATGTGTTTTAGCAATTTAGAGAGCTAGGTCAAACGCAAACGCATTTTTATAAAACCTACCGCACAGTGTTTCGATTCCTACATAAGTCATACACATATCGAAAGTTCGATATGGTTTCTTATTCTGTATCTTCGCTAGATTGCCCATAAAAGGGAACGTGGGCCTCCCCACATGTTTTCCATGTGATAATACCGACGCAGGGGAGAGATAACATTAAATCGCATACCGCCCCGATACTTTCACTAACGAACCGATAATTCAAGGGGATGTTTTCCCTTAGATTCACAATTTTTACGAGAACACTCATTGTCCGAAGTGTTTTGTTCCTCTTTAAGGTAATGAGAAGAGGAAAACGATGTTTACAGTTCGCGCTCTCTTTTAGTACTGTTGTTTCAATACTTAGTTGGGAATTTAAATAGGCAAAAGATTCCGGATCACTTTACTGACTTAAAAGTATTCATAATCATGAAGCTATTGCCAATTGCTTCATTCATATTAAAATATGTGAATCAAACTCCACCCCTGTGGGTAAAACGGAATCCACGCGTAAGAAGTCGCAGGCGGCCGCAAGTAGAATGATAAAATTACATACAATGAAAATTGAATAAATAAAAAATATTGGTGATCCCCAAAAATATATTTTCATCCAATAATTTGTACAGCAACTGTGAGAACTACTTATTTATTTTATCATCTATGATTAAATTTACGGACTGAAAACATAAAAGGTGTAACAAAGCGTTTAAAAAATAGGTTCATTTACAAATGTTCGCGCGTGTGTTAGGTTTCATCTGTGAATAGAGCACCGATGTGTCTGATAACCTTTATTGTCATTGCCGAACCCCTTTCAACCTCAGGTTTGCTGAATAATGGATGTTGAATTGTGTTGATATTATTACCTACTTACATTATTTAGCTCAGTTTTCAGAAAATTTGCGTGAAAATTATTCTATATAAGTAGGTATTACGTACTACGTACGGTACCTCTCATGAACAACATTCTGGCTATTATTATAACGAGATTACAAAGAGAATTAATCATTTATCAATTTTGTAATAAAGTAGGTACCTAATTTCTATAGGAAATCTACCACAAGAAATCTTTTAGAATCATGACATTACCAAAATTATGTATCCCGAACTAAAAAGTACCCTACCTTACGAAAGGGTCATGTATGCATTCATAATTCAAAAACTTGCGATTGTGCAACATTAGAAAAATATGCAAAACAAAACAGACAATGCGGTTAATAGTTTCGACCTTGCGTCCCACTAAAGTCGTTTAATTCGCGACATACATATTTATTCACAACCACTCGGTTTGTTGTAACTCGACGTCCTGAAATCCGTCATCTTGAACAAAAATAGCTGTGATGTCAGACACACGTGTGTGGTCTAATAATTAAGCTAGGCTTATGAGACGTAGGCTCAATGTATTTTGGGATTATTGGACAAACTCTAATTAAAAAGTTAGTCCTTACCTACTACGGAATTCGCTACGACCGCTACGCGAGTTACCAAGACTGTGTTGTCAAGCCCAAATGTACCGATATTTACGACTTCCGAATGTCGCTCTATAAAATCTGTAAACCGATCGAATTGTTAGATAAAAATATTTGTATGCAAACTGTATATGAGCGCACTCATATACAGTTAAACTTGTCACGTGCCGCAAAATCAAATACAATGGATGGTTTAATCATAGACTAATCAGGTCACTACCACCACCAGATTGAAAATTATTACTTTTCTGTATCAGTATCAAACGCTGTACTATTTGAAATTCCTACCAATGTATTTATAATGTAACTTTTAAATAAATAGATATTTAAGTTTCAACTCGAGTCATAAGCCCGTCACCTTTCAAAATACCGTACACTACATAATCAATACGTGCTCATTTTTAAGCAAAAGCATCTAATAACATAGATGTTAGAGGTCACATTCATACATCTTTCTTCATTTCGCCCTTCGTCGTCCAGACTGTCATTTGTTTATGTCCTTTTGCCAGGATCAGGTTTCAGACAGTTAAACCCACGTGGCAATTGAACAAATTGAGTTTACGGACCTGATTTAAGGCTCAGATAACTCACGATCACGTCATAAGAGTAAAAGGTGCGATGACCGTATGCTGAACAGCTGATTTGATTGCGATTTTAGTGAGATCTTTATTGTGATTTCTTTTGTTTTCCTGAACGAAACGTGTTGATTTCGAATTGTATACTCGTAGTAGGTACTTACATACTTCGTTTTATGATTGCCATAAACTATTTATGAGAGTAATTAAATCGGGATTAAGGGAAACAGTGCAATCAAATTAAAGTATAGTTAGATATCAAAAAGTTATTACCTACTAAAACTATTTCAAACACTACTATCACAAATCGCAATGTCATGTAACATTTTACTAACTATTGTTTTATTTAGATTCTGCGCAAAGATATAATGTTTTCCTAAGTTGATATTATTTCTGAGAACAGCCTTTCCACAAGTCTGGCTCTGACTTATAAAATAAATATTACAGTTTCAATACATTCGTAGAACCGCAATTGGATTCAGTAAAATTTTGATTTAGCATACTGAGCTTATATTTTCGTTCTCAGGTTTACAGTAATTTTAATAAAGTTAAGAAAGATAAGAACATGTACACGTCAGGGTTCATCATTAAGTTACCCAAGGTTCCACACACTCCTTAAAACACCATTATGTAACCGGTCTGATAACGTAGCTCGAACGCTACGCTACGTTACCGCTTCATTCGAGTCTCGAGATCGCTATCTCTGACGCTGAGTTTCGGCAAACTTAAATAGGATTCTTACGAAGAAAACTCGCCCAATCTTCCACCTGACAACTGAAATTAAGGTTTGATGTACCAACTCAAATTGGATGTACGTGTAGCTGAAGGTACATTTCTACTAAAGTATAAGTAATCAAACTTCCTGACTTTAGCCGTCAGATTTATTCGAAAAGAACTGCTTTTTCACTTGCGTGATTTATGTTTATCTCCTAATACATACATAATATTCTCGTGTATGATGTCGGTTGTATGTAAATGGGAATTGAACACCTTAAAATGTTTTTTCATAATAATCATGTATCCACTATTTCTTCTACGTTGCTTTCTTTAAATGAGTATTAAAATCCAATCGGAGAAAATATACTTCCCATTTGGTTTATTACCAAATCCAGCCATGAACCTCGTTAATTTAATGAAGATTGTACTGAGCTCGCACTAATTACATACCTTGACTTCGTCTTTATTTACAGGACATAAATAAGATAGTAACAAACGTGACTAAGTTTCTTCCGCCACTTCTCAATACCAGCCGATATTTTGTCCTGAAGTGGTGGTAGAAGTGTATTGCCTGAGTTTGTTCCGCAACTTCTCAGTACTGGCTGACCTAGAAGCTGTATTGACATGTTTATAAGTGCCCTGAGAAAGACCTACTAATTACTAAATTTGGCGATTTTCTCAACAGAATCTCAAGCGTGCTTCCACGAGTCGATCGAGCGCGAGATGATATACGAGAAGACTGGCACTCCCTACTACCTGGAGTGCACCTGCAACGAGCCAGGGTACGACACCAGGCACATCACCTGGCTGGACAACAACGACACTGTGGTACGGGAGCAGCGGTGGGTACTAAGTTTGCTAAGATATTTAAATAGGGATGTTTCCTGAGTAAAAAAGCAAGTTTTAATTAGTCCGTCAGTTAACTTATCACAAAATACTCGACACGTAGTTTTCACTTTTTCAAAGTAATGAAAATTTAAAGAGAAAAAGCGCACCAAAGTTCAAAAGAAGAGGGCCGTGACGTCAATGAGTGCTTAAAAGTGCAGCACTTTGTGACGTCGCGCGGAACTTCAACGCACCATAACTTTGTAATTATTTGTTTGATTGACAATTAAAAATATACGTGTCCAATATTTTTTAATATTAAAATAGACGGACTAAAAAAATGTTTTTAGGAAACTAGCCTATTATAGGGCAGAGTGTCTCACACCGTGCGTCACGCACGTCGCCCTGTGGCGTCGCGGCATAGTTCCAGGGATGTCACGAGACGATCGAAAATAAATGTAGAAAAAGATATGAGAGTAGCAATTTCCAAACATGAGAAGCTATATTCCGAAAAGCAAGCACATCCTTCTCATTAGTAGCCATTCAATAAGTATCTCACGTAAAACCGTAGTAAACGTAAACGTTAAACCGTAATTATACTGGGTAATAAATAGTAGAAGTTGTTCATAATCGTGAGCCAAATTCAAGCTTTTTATGATGAAAATAATGTGATTTGTACTATCGCGATGGATTTTTGAGTGTACTAGTTCTTTTCGTAGTACCTACCTCCTCTATTAATTTTATGACAACCTATGATGTGCTTTGCGTGCTGTTAATCTAATACTGTTTCCATAAGACCAGGTATAGAACATAGTGTGTTCACGGTGACAGACCACCACACCGTCAGCCTGAACATCCCCTACTTGAGCAAGAAGACGTCGGGCACGTACAAATGTCAGACGAACTTCGAAGGGAACAAGTACATACAGACGTACCATATCACAGCATACGGCAAGTATTTCTCGTAGTAAATAAAAATAAATCTAAATCATTTACGCAAGTTGATTTCTTTTCTTTATACGATTTACCAGTAAAATAACTATTCGGTCACTTGATTTAAAAAAGCTAAACCTAGAGACCTCAAACTTGGAAATTTCTTTATGAAGAAAATATCGTTTGAACGTCTCATAAAAAAAGCTTCAATTGACTAATGTTCTTGGTCCGATTCCCTATCAAGTATATGAACTTATTTACCTTTTGTTGGTCTTTTTGTGTAACTTGTTCTAAAATGCCGTATTCCTCTACAGATCCCATCACAATAAACCCTCCAGTGAAACAGTTTTTGCTGCTGGGCAACAGATCTCTCATTCGCTGCGAGGTGCACGCCGAACCCGACGCCAATTTGATTGTCACCTGGCACAAAGTTGAGGGGGATAGACTCGTGCAGGTATCAATTTTATTATGAATCTTATTACTACAGCTGAACGCGAGTTTTTGAAGCCTAGGTCAGGTAAATTAGGAAAAATTACAAGATGTACTTCAAACTATTATTGTGTTTTGGTGTGGTTTTGGTTTGGCTTGGAGTGTCCATAATATCAGTATTCTTTTATGTATATTTCAATGACAATTAAAATAAAGAATATGTCGTGGACTTATTGCTACAACTTACTGACCAAAATCAAATAAATAAGAAATAAGTAAATCAACTTTTTCTGATGCCTTTTGAATAGCTAGAAGAAATGATTTATAATTTTCAAATTAGAAGAAATGAGTTACGAGTACCTATAAGTAAATCCGTACCGAATGAATTCAATCATGCTAAAAACTGCATAGCACTTGATATTTTCAGTTAATGATTTCTTGCAATAAGCTAACGATGTATACTTTGAATAAGACTTCTTCCGACTTTCAAGAATCTTTTTAAAGACTTTCTTTTACATTTGTTTCTTACAGATAAATACAGATGCAACTTACACTATCATGCCTGAAGGGCTCTACATAAACAAAGTGGAGGAAAAGGACAAAGGAATATACAGCTGCGCCGTGCTGGAGAGCAAAACAATGGATGAAGTGGATATTAATATTTATACAGAGGTACATTTATACGTTTTATTTTTTTACTTGAGAATTTTGCAAGTTAAAAATAAATGCACTGCACCTACAACCAGTTCGATGTAAAAACTCGACAATTATTTTTGTTATCCTACTATCTAAATATATGTAAGGCTGGCTACACACGTGTGGATCATAGAAAATAGTATTGGCAACAAAGCTTAGACATCTTCACGTTGCTTCTGACCGAACAGGACTGGTATAATATCCAATGTGTGGACGCCTTACGAAATTAACTGACCAACGTTGGCACGAGCGTTTGCGGCAATGTGTAGCGCCGGTGCTAGGCACTTTTGTAAATAAATAAATAATAATATCAAATTTTCAGATAATAACAAAGCCAGTAATCAAAAGAGTCAAAGCGGTGCCGGAGTCAACAGTGGTAGTGGGTGACCGGTTAGTGCTGGAGTGTGATGCAGAAGGCACTCCTCACCCGGAGTACATATGGAGGAAGGTAGACGAGGTGAGCTAGCGCTGGTACTCTCAGCAGCATCATCATCATCATCATCATCAGGTCATTTAGTTTCCACTGCAGGGCCAGGATGCCAGGGTCTACAGCTTGATCTCCAGTGAAAACCCAAACAGTGAAGTTCTACTTTGTCCCTAGGGAAAGTTAAACTTTTATTGGACCCATAACGAAATGAAGGCTATCGTTTTAGCGCTCACCAGTTAGCGCCACTGTAGAGTAAGGTCCTGTCACTTGCTAGTAGCGAAGACAGTGGCACCAACTGGTGAGCGCTAAAGTGGTAGGAGGACTATCGCATTTGCACGCATCAAGATGGCGCCACTGTAGAGTAAGGTCCTGTCAATCGCCAGGGGTGCCAACTGTTAAGTATAAAACCGATAGCGCTCATTGTTTATAGTCGACTATGATTAGACTGAAATTCACGAAGGCAAACAAAAACAAAAACAGGCAAAAACTCTTACTTTATGTCTGGATGAAGGAAGATAGACGAAATGAGCTATTGCTAGTAGTCCCATCATCATCAGCATCTAGCTCTTAGCTTAGTCTCCACTGCTCGAGTACATCCCTCTTTTATATAAATATAGGATTTGGGACCCGGATGACGGAGTCGATTTCGATACTCGTACGAATCCCAATCGAGTCAACTTGGAACACAAGTTCTAAATTCGCTCGGTAAAATGATGCTGTCGATAAATAAAACAATGTAGGATTGTATTATGAAACCGTACGCAAAGTTGAGTGAGTTAGACTACAGTTAAACGACGAATAGCTGCATAAGACAACTGACGTTTTCTTCAGAGTTCTTTACTTTGTATTTCTCGAAAAACTTTGTATCTAACTTTGGCTCACGACTTCATCCGCATAGTTTTTTTTAATAACAGGCCTGAATCTATTTTGGAGTGAAGATTTTTACACAACTGTAAGTTCAAAACTCAGAAGTAGGTGCACACCACATTTTAATGTTGCAATAAGTTTTAAAATATGTACATAATAAAATCTAAATCTAACTTCTGTAGCTTTCCTTATAGAAAGTTAATTTAAAAAATTTGATTAATTAAATCTTGAAACTAAGGTTTGCTTTACACCTTTGCTCTTATGCAGTTGCAATAGGTGCGAATTTGCAATAAACATTTTGCTGGCTACTCTACATCTCAGATATAATATGTATCTATAAATCACATTGAGTCTAATCATCACATTGAGTCTCACAATAAATAATGCTTCAATCAATGTAAGCCCTCAGTCGACTATTTGCGATATTATGAACTGAGTTACATAAATAGCTCGCAATCATTGAGTCATGACATTTATTCTGCTCGTGTTTTGGGTTAATGGTCAATAAAATTGCCGCGCACTGTTCAACATAGTAGATATATTAGCTTTTATGGTGAAACCACCGAGTTAGAAAATGCAGCGGTAGAGCTTTGTGGTTTGATTTAAAACTTATTGGCTTTAGCAAATAATTACTACTTATTACAAATACTAACTCTAGACAGCTAAGCATGATTGTAATGTACGTAAGCAGCATCCACTAAGAACGGATATTAAACAACACCACGGCAAAGCCACGGGCAAACAGTTCTTTAGAAATACTGGATAATTGATTTTCTCGTTGTCCACATTTTACATTCAAGTCTTGCCTAGTTCTGGAACCTTGTAAAACGACTTATACCAGACCTATTAACTTACCCCCTTACTAATAAAAAGTTACATAGTTGTTGAACACTGTTTTAAAATGACACTTCACTTTAAAACACTGTTCAACGAGGATGTAAGTTTTATTAGTAAGGGGGTTAATATTTTTCTGCACATAATAATATGTAGGTTCTGTGATTACGACAGCAAATCATTTTTTACTTTATTGTGGAAAAATCGCACTTATTACAAGTACATAAGATACCACCATCATGTTTTATTCTTCTAGCCAGTGACAGAAAACCCGCCGCGATGGAAGCAGCAGATCAACGCACTCGTGATGGAAAGCATTCTGCCTCAAGACAGCGGCGTCTACGAGTGCGTGGCGCAAAGCAACGCGGGGGTCGTCTCCGAGACTATCGACATTCAGGTGAATTACACTTCTATGATGTTGTAATAAGATCGATATTGCTAGAAAGTATGCAGTCGCAAGACAGCGGGGTCTACGAGTGCGTGGCGCAGAGCAACGGCGCCGGGTCGTCTCCGAGACCATCGACATTCAGGTGAATTACACTTCTATGGCATTGTGATAAGAGCGATATTGCTTGAAAGTATGCAGTCGCAAGACAGCGGGGTCTATGAGTGCGTGGCGCAGAGCAACGCCGGGTCGTCTCCGAGACCATCGACATTCAGGTGAATTACACTTCTATGGCATTGTGATAAGAGCGATATTGCTTGAAAGTATGCAGTCGCAAGAATCCCGTCCAATGACCCCAAGCTACCCATCCCTTATGTTGCTGTCGCGCTCGCACACTCACTGCGGGCGCCCGTAGCACAGTCGCGACAGCAATATAATTACGCGCGAGCGATAGGGATGGGTAGCTTGGGGTCATTGGACGGGATTCTACGTACTCACGGACCAGGCTTTAGTCAATTTGCATTTTGCACTAGTTACCTACCTAACCTTTTACTCGTAGCTAAATCAGTGAAACAAAATTCGCACGCAAGTCGACTGCTTCAACAATTTTATCAAAAGTACAAATCGCAATATACTTTTTGCAGATTCGATACTGTCGATGATAACAGTATGAGCGTTTAGTTTGTGGACTATTAGGCCTCTCAGCACATTTGCTCCTCTCGCTACTAACACAGGCTGTCAGAGACTTTATCAGGAACTGATGTAACTGGTCTACTAACAAAATTAGTAATTTGTTACATTTTGATTTAGGTTTTAGTCCCGCCAAGCATAACATCATTCGAGAATATAACCGCGAAGGAAGGCTCCACGGTGCAACTGGTGTGCAACGCCGAGGGCCGGCCCGCTCCAAACGTTTCCATCATATTCATCGACAATGATTTGGACTTGGTGTAAGTTTAAAAAAATACTTTACACGAAACAGCTTTTGCGACTTTTCCCGCGTTGATTGTCCAAAACTATTTATTTATTTTATAGCTAAAAGTACTTAGAAAATTTAATTTTAAAATTGATTCTATAGTCCCCAGAGATCACTTTCAATCAACAAACAAACTTACAAATTCGCAAAATTTTCCCTTTTTTTAAAACATTATAAATGATTCACGCAAATAAAAATATTGCTTACAATTTTGTTAATTTAAGTAATTTTTCACTAACATTATGTGATTGGAAACTGTCTGTATTTCAGCGAATTAGACGATAACGACATAAAACAAAACTTGGAATTCATCAAAGTAAATAGATCTGACATGGGGGTCTACGCCTGCAATGCTACCAATAAAGGTACCTACGTATTCTTTATCCTACACACATAAAGTACATAATTTTATTACATTCTACTACAGTAGGTACTTATGCTGATCAAATCTATTATATTTTGGTTTCTGAAACAACTTTCATAGCAAAACTATTTTCATCTTAGTCGTTTTCGTGCCTTTTGAAGATAGTAAAGTGACTTCAAAAGTAAACAAATGTAGCAACTACAAAGTATAAAGTGAAGTGGTTCCTGAAATTTGGAATCGGACACCAGAGCTATAGCCTAAGTTGTTACATCCCACGCGATAGAAAAAGAACATCCTTTAACGTGTGGAATAACAATAAAGATTTGAATTGAAATAAAAGAAAAGTTTATCCAATTTTGCGCACCTATATACAGGGTGTTAGACATCTTTTTCATTTCCATCCAAGAGTAGAGCAAAGCTATTTGGATCAAATATGTAATTGCAAAATTAAAAAAAAAAAGAAAAAAAAAGTACTTCTAGTTATCTGTTAATACTTGAATCATTGAAAATTTTATATTTTAGTGGACTACGCGACAAGACTTATGTTTCTGTCAGTGGAATTTAAGCCGTATTTTAAGTCGGTGGCGGAAGTAGTATGGGGCTGGAAAGGACACGAGGTCAACCTCAGTTGCGAGTATGAGAGCAACCCTCCGGCGGAGTTGTCTTGGAGGTATGGTTATGGTCATGGTTGAGAATCGGGTACTTGACACCACAGACAATGAACTTACTTTTTGTGAGCTGTCAAAACGCCACAGTCATCAATCCCATCAGGGCTAAATTGATATTTGTATTTTAAAAAATATGTCTCATTTAGTACCTAAATGTTTGTTTAAGAATAATTGTTCCTGTAAGAAAATACTTATATTAATTTGTGAGTAGTAGAATCAACCTTTTTTGTTTGAGTAAAAATTCACATCCTGTATACTTAAAAAAAACCTAAACGGGGCATGCTTTTTATACATTTAGGCTGGGTTGCACCCTCTTACTTTAACATTAACAAACTTCAGAAATCTGTTAAACTCTATACAAAACACACCGGTTATCTTTATAGTTACTATTATAGTTAGGTGGTGCAACTCAGCCCTAGAGTGTTTTCGTATACTTACAGATACGAAGGTAAAGGTGTATCAACGGCAGAACAAGTGCAAGTCAATAAGCTATTAAACGACATGGTTAGGGATACGTACATAAGATTCAACGTGTCTGCATATCCGTATCCATTTGGAGTGTACGAGTGCAAAGCCGCGAATGCATTGGGAGCGGACAAGAAGACGATCACTTTCAAGGAAGGATTTGTTCCGGGAAATATCAGTGATGTGAGGAATCATCATACCTACATACTGGGTATCCCAAAATTAACACGTCACACTGACATTGGAGATAGATACTATTAGCACAGAATAATAATAAGTACTACGTACAGAAGTTTTACTTCGCGAAGGTATTTAAAAAAATGTATGCTCAATGTCAATAAAAATATGGTGTAATTTAGCCTGTCTCAAGAGTCAAGCACCAATTTGTTGACAAACGTCAGTGATCGGCACTGCGCCGAAGCTATAGGGCTGACTTCGGTAAAATGATGTGAAGTGAGGTGCCAAACTGCGGAAAATGGCGGAGGAAATACATGATTTAGCATGAATTATCATGAATAATATTAACTACTTATTTACCTCTCAGTGTCTTGAGGCAACTTAAAAAAGTACATTCTGTGTTTTTATTATTATTTAGGCAGTTAAATACTGCACAGTATTTAGTAGACCATTTTCTTTATTTACTTCCATCATTCACAAGAATACGCGTGCATGAGTCAATGTTCGCTCGTATGTGAGGCCTTGTCGAATAGTATCCTGTAGGTGGGCCATCGTGCGTGTTTTGTTTCGATGTAAACTCGCGGAGATGAACAGGCCTGCTGTTAGTCTCGTTCGATGCGTCTTACGCCCGTATTCACAAATATTACTATGATATCTCACAGTGCGCACAGGGTGATACACGAACCAATCACAGAGATCTCTCTATTCAACGCTGTGCGTTCGATTTGCTGCTTCACTTAAGCAAGCATCGTTTGTGAATACGGGCGTTAGGCCCATTTACCCACGATGTTAGTGTGACTTGCTAATTTTGGGACACCCTATGTAAAAAAACTTCTTTCTAAATTAATTTCTTGTACTCGTATCTATGTAATTTTAGATTATTAATTGATGATTTCGTTTCTAGCGCATGCATTTCTACATTATTTAACTTTTTAATTCCCTCAATTAAGAAGAAATCTTTAAAAAGAGAATGGGCGAAAGTGGTCCAGGAACCAATAGAGATACGGGGATACTGTAGTGGTATAGAACCAGTATATTAACTCTATTTTTTTTTCATTAACTTCAACTACAAACTGTTAAAACTCGTATTAGAAACTTACTCCTCACCACATTCCAGGCGGCAGTGCTAATTCGCAATCCGACTTCAGTGACCTTCGACATCCGAGGCCCAGACACGGTCGAAGGGCCGGCCATACTCGGCTACACGGCTGAGTATGACACCGAATTCAATTCCAATGTCACTGACATCCACATGAACAGAACCTGGGCCATAGACAGGCCCTATACCATAGAGAACTTAGAGCCGAATACCACTTATGTGATAAGATTTGCGGCTCTGAACGAGGTTGGGCAAGGCCCGTGGACTGAGTACAAAACCTTCTACACGTTGGAACCGTAAGTGTTGTTTTGTTTGTAATTAGCTTCTGACACACAATCGTTATGATACTCGTAGTTTCGTAAGGTTTTCCTAATAAATGTTTTGTTCAAGAAACTCTCTCGTACTCGTATCTCTGACAGTTAACGTAAGTGCGCCTATTAACGACNAAACTGGCGGTAATAGGCGCATTTACGTTATTTCTCCGGTTTAGGTACTGTTTACTGACTTAATTTGTTTTTTATATTTACAGTATTTACAAATTAGGTAAAATATTCTTTAAAAAAAACTATAAACTTCCATCAATATTAGTTCAGCAGTTTTAACTTTAAAAAGTAACAAACATTAACTTATTCTCACTAGTATGAAACATAAGCTAGGTAGGTATAACTCTACCGCAAGTTCTCTTTCAATATCCAGTCCAATACTAGCCACAAAATACTAGTTCCCCGATATACCCACAGCGCATTCGCGTCCTATTTCCCCGCCACAATGGCTGCAAAAAAATCTAGAAAAACCGCCGCCAGCCTGTTAGTTTTAACAAAGCAACGTAACCTATTGAAAAAGTCCCTTTTGAAAACTGATAGAGAACTCAGAAACTTATAAAATACGAACTTACTTCAGACACGTATAAAATACGAACTTCCTCGTACCTACCAACAATAATATTCTGAAAAAATTTTTTTTATTAAATTATTGAATAACGTAACGTTATTGTACGGCTCCTCGGGAACTGTATATTTGCTAAATATAATTCTGTTATTAATTATTTTTATGAATTACTTAGCACAAGCTCTTAAGAAACTAAGAACGTTCCTAAACGTTAGGCTAGGTCTAAGTACTTACCTATTACTGTAACAATTAATTTTTAAGTAGAAAACTATCCATATTATCTTTACATCCTTTTCTTCGCGTTTATTTTAATTTATCGTATTTAACTGATCTTAAGTAAGGTATAAAATTCTCACAGTTCCATCCCTAGCCCGCCGCAGTGGCAGACGGTGTCAGACGGCGAGCTAGTCAATATCACCTCTATGGACCAAACTACGTCTTGGAACCCAGCTGAAGGGAATGGCGCTACGGTGAATTACTATACCGTGAGGTATTGTCCGGTAAGTGCGACAAAGAAAAAAACATTCATTATTTAAATCCTGAAAAAATTGTTTAACCTATTTATAACACCGAAAGAATAGGTCGCTTTCTAATAATAACAATAAAATGGTAGGTACCTACCTACATACTCCTTTGATCAGAATTTATTATGAAATAATCATTTGATAATCTGTAGGTAGAGGTATATCAATCAGTATGGATATCAAGTACCTACTGGTTATAATTAAATTAATTAGAGCTTAATTGCTAGCGTCGTTAATAATCCATTGTACGCTACCAAAACCACTATTGAGACTAATTAAACCTTTACTATACAGTCATATACATAATGTATCTATTTAAATTAATATTAGATATCAAACCAATCAGATGGTCGAGTTTCGCGTTAGGACGTGTAAACTGAAAAGTGAATCTACAAGAATTTTTAGTTTCCACTTTGGAAACATTGAAACCTGATGAAACTGAATGCCAAAGTCTGCTAACTTAAGAGGCGTGTGTAAGACCCAGAAGACGGGTAGTTTGAATGTCATTTGTTTAAAATTACCAGGAGATAAAACTTGAGCTTTTTAACCTGTAAAAATTAAACTTCTATCATCTCTAAATACTTTACTGAAAACATTAAAAATATCAGATACCGTATGCGAAACTGATTTCATTAAAATTTTCCATTCGTTTGATGTCTTATGAAGTATGTATTAAAAGATTTTCAATCGCTTTTCATAATAATATCGAGACAGATCGCTCCTGTAAAGATCCTGACCTTTTGAATATGTGTAGCAATCTCTCTTCATACCTACCGCAAAATAATTAACATTTTACTATATTAATCTCAACAAATTTTACTTTTAGGTGGATGACGAAGAGTCGTGTATGGAGGATATTATAGAACCCAACTCGGAATTGAAACTTAACAATAGATTATTGGAATTCAATACTACATATTCTATAGAAGTTATGGCACACAATTACATGGGTGATTCTGTTCCGGCTAATTTAACGGTATTAATGACAGGTAAGTTATCTTTGACGGAAGATTATGTATATTGATCTAAATGTATGTTTCTGGAAATGTGAGTCATAGTAGCAAAATATTTAGATTTTACTAATATCATAAAGTCTAATATTACACAAACTTTCCTTATAGGGTTTAAAGTTAACAGTTGACTATCGAAGTTCACGTGAAAGTAATGTGTTTCGCGATTTCCCCTTTATTTTTGGTTACTTACTTTGTTTGTTACTTTGGTATTACTATGTTTATTTTAATGAGCGTTGTATAAACTTCAATATCCCAGAATGTTTGAAAGTCAATGTTCATGTTATCCAGTCAAACACACACATTTTTCCTTAGGTAAAAAGTCTAACAGCTAAACTCAAAACTTAGTACGTCTTTACATTCTGCGCACACATTTTCTGAGGCCGAGTTGCACCACCTTACTTTAAGTTTTTTGTATGGAGTTTGACAAACTTTTGACATATGTTTACTTTGCGCCACCACTGCCGGGGGACAGGGTTATGTGTGGGACTCCCGGCGCCCAAAAAAGGGCGCTGCTCCGTCCTGAAAAGGACGGGGGATACCCACTAAAACCTCCACGGCGTTCCGTCATCGCCTGAGTGGGGGTGGTCGCGAGTATCCGGTCGTAGCCTTAGACTTCCGCGACAGCATTTGTTATACTTAAAGATGGTAGAACATATATGTTTTTTTTTTGTTTTTATCCACAACGAGGAAGCTCTTGGCCTGTATCTCACCTGATGGTAAGTGACGATGAGGCCGAAGGTGGAAGCGAGCTTCACCCGGAATCCTCAACCACGGAGGAACTGGCTATCTTACCTCTAACTGCCGGAACACAACAATGCTGTTAACATTATTGTTATGGCGACAGACTTAGGTAAGATGGTGGTAGCTAGCCAGGCGGACTTAGAACAAGCCCTACCACCAACCAAACCGAACAGAAAAATCTGCCCCCACTGGGAATCAAACCCTCATCAAAACCTCTGCGTCTGAAGCAGGTGGTCTTACCACTAGACCACAGAGGCAGTTAAACATAACCTCCTCCTTTTTTGAAGTCGGTTAAAAAGTCGTCCCAAATAATGCCATCTCCTTTTCAGTGGACCTCATCACAGCAGCGCCACTTCTCTCTGCCGGCGCCATAATCGGCATATCGGTGGTGATGGTGTTCGTCTGCCTGCTGTTCCTGGACCTACTTCTGCTCATGTGGCGGAAGCAGGGCATCATCGCCAGCTGCTGCATCAGGAAGAAGAAGAAGAAGAGCAAAGCGGACGAGGGCTTGCGAGTTCGGTAAGATCGATGTTTTATCGATTACTAGCTGACCTGGCGAACTTTGTTCCGCCTTAATGGCAATAAATAAGCAGACTTTTTTATTATTTCGAACGGGATAAAAAGTATCCTATGTCCTTCTCCTGGCTCTAAACTACCTCCCTGACAATTTTCAGCTAAATCGGTTCAGCCGTTCTTGAGTTATAAGTGGAGTAACTAACATGACTTTCTTTTATATATATATAGATGTCTGTGATCTTGCACTAATCGGTTAATGGGGATGTCTTTCTTAACATAATTTTTATACTAACAATTTTTATTGCGCATTTAATTACTTGTTTTAATATTTAATTCTCTTAATTGAACTTAAAAACAGAATGACCCTTTTACGGCATAACAGTAAAGGTGCTGTAACAATTAATTTATATCAAAATTTGAAAAGGTAAGGGATCTCTCAAGGGGCTGTAATGAGACCTCTCTGTCTTAAATTTTAATATAATTATGTTTAAATTTTAATACACATTAATTAAGTATTATAGCCACAAAAGCATCTTTAGACGGCGGCATATGAAACTAAACACTCTTTATAGTGTAGTTGTAAAACAAAAATTACATTAATATGCCGGCGATTACACTTTGTTTCAAACACTTCCGTTGCGCAAGTCCTTCCTTCAAGGAGCGAAAGAATCTGAATTTTTAAGATCTTTGTCCCAAGGCTTGGTTGGCTTGGTTTCAGCGACAAAAAGGGCCTTTTGAGAGACACCCGCGAAGCGGACGAGACCGAAAGGCACAAAGAGTTCGAATACAACAAAACCACCGGGATCATCACGGGCCGACATTCTGCCGTTTAAATATAGATACAGTAATGATGGGAAATGGACTGCTGAATTCTCCGCGTGCCTTTGATGCCATACTGCGAGTTTAGAAAGCCTACCGGTGGAAGTGTGCTTGTGATTATTTCCAATGTTATAACTTAAGATAAAAGATCAAATTCACGAAAATGTCGGTTTTAATACAACCTTATTCTTGTAGTGTTAAATCACAAAATTTAAACAACATGATGTTTGAAGTTCGGGCTGAAACACATCGCAATATTCAGTACCAATTAGATTTGTACAATATTGTACATGACAGCACATCATTACATTTTTGTTGCAAAAAAGCCCGTATTACAACCAGATAAGACTGTGTTTAGCTTGATGTGCATCAGTCTATTTTTGGCGTTGTTGTTTAGATTTTTTGTGCATGTTATAGATTTCAATTTGTATATTTTTTCAGCAACGTATCTTCTATTTGCAGCATGTACCTATATTCATTAGATATGGTAGGATCTCATGACTACAGTAAATGACACTAGCTCTAAGATTTTAGTATTTGTACCACTGACCAACTTTGTAAAGTCCCTACGTCATTAAATAATTATATCCATATTGTAAATAGTTAAAATAACTCTTTACGTATCCAAGATAAGTTTTTATACATTTTTTACTTTTGTTTATTTAAACAAACGTTTAATATATTCATAATTTATTTATTATTTAAAACTTTCGTTTCAATATTTATTTCTTCTTATTTTTTAATGTTATACATAAAATTAAATCATACAGAAGAAAAAATATAATTAATAGATTTTACTTAGTAGGTAGTATATTGTCTATATTTTTTTCCTAGATAATGTCTTGTGATAGCTTTTCATGTTTAATATAACCAAAGATGCAAACATTTTTGAAGTGTTATTAAAAAAAGCCATAAGAAAACTACATAATATTATATAATTTATTATTAAGAAAAAATGAAGATAACTTACACTAATAAGTACGCATTTTGTATGAAAATCTATTTGAGCAAAGGTAATTTCGTTATTTATTTCACATTTTTAAAGATACAACAGTATTTCTTTAGCTTTCAATATTGGCTGTAAATAACACAAAGTAGTATTAATATAATAAAGTGATTAAGTATATATGAATGTAGCGTTTTATTTCCCACAACTTTTAAAATAAATTAACGGATAAAAGCACTGAGACGGAAAATTTCGTGACTCCGCACTAAGAACTCCTTGTTTATGTAACAACGTCCTCGCATAATTTTTATATTCCTGCAAAAAAAGGGTTTAAAAAAGGTATGTAGAGACAAAATATGTAAACCCCTATGTAATTAGTGATTTAACCCTAGTCTGGCATGAGACATTTAAGACTTACATTTACTGATTAGTCTTTACTTATTTATTTTAAAAAATCTTGAAAAACTTTGAAATGTATTTCATTTTCCATAGCAACAAAGAAATTACTAAACCTAAATCACAGACGTCTCAAAAACATGAATCTCCGTCGCATGAAAGTTAGTGTGAATTGTGTGTACACCTGTAGCCTTGATATAAAACCCGTTTGAAGTGCCACTCGCTGAAGTTTGTGATTCTTTCATAATATCGTATCTGCAAAGATTGTATATCTAGCAGATGAAAGAACTCGCTGTAACATAAATACAGTGCAGTTATATCAGTATCATAATTTTCTACGAATGATATTTATGTATGGTTTCATATTAAATATTTTATGAGATATCACGATGTTCCCTCTTCGGTATTATTATTATTCAGGTATTTCTTTCATATACAGACGTTTACTTTGTGCGAGCTTATGGAATTCCTTTCTCGTTAAGATTATGAAAATAATTCATATGTTTTTTCATATTTCGCCAGCCCAGTTATTTACAATATTTAACTACAGGAAATATTACTATTTATGTTTTTATCTAGATTATATCGTCACCGTCGTGGCAGAATTAAATAACTGACAAAACCAAAGTTGCGAGATATTCACGTTTTTGTGATTTTTTTCGTTAAAAATGGCGATAACTTTTAAGGGTAAAAATATTTTATGTCGGTCTTTTGATATTTTATACAGCAAATTTACCTTTATTAAATCAATATTCTTCGATGACGATATTTTGTATTATTTTAAATAAAAAAAATAAAAATGTAATTATTTAGTTTTGCCACAACCGTATTTTACAACTAAGTTGCAGTTATTTAGTTTTTGCATGTCACTTATTTAGTTTTGCCACAACCAAGGTATTACAAAAACGAATATTTCCATTGAATAAGTACACTTGTTTAATTTTGCCACACTTTTATTGAACTAAATGTTGATTTATTAATTTTGTTTTATTTGTTTTGTTAATGCGATTTTAGTCAAAATCTGTAAAATTGTTAAATAATACTAGAATATACCTACTTATTAAATACTTATAAATGTTTAACAAATTGGTATGGTACCCATCAACATCAGATTCCTATAACATTGAAATTAAATTGAAAGAACCAACATCTAAATGAATATCAAAATTAAAATAATCCAAAAACAATAAAACTGTAATAGGGATATCTCCCTAGGGACCCATAGGGATCCCTTACCCTCAACGTCATGGCAGAACGACGTTCAATGTCACTGCAGATCTCCGTTGACGCTAAGGCACATCGGCAGTTCAATAGACAGATATGGAAGTCCTTGCGACATGATATTCGCAACTTTAATACCAAGGCTCGAAAGTGTTCGCTAGAGACAACTCTATTGGGCGAAGCTAGCTGAAGACTGCGGAAGGTGGTGTAACGCCAACAAAAGCCGAGGTTGTGGGTGAGATTGAAAAGTTTTATGGGCAGCTATATACCTCGACGAAGATATTGTGGATATCAGAATTATCTGCCTATTACGAGATTAGGATGGCTCTCAAACACCTAAAGAACAACAAGGCACCGGGTCATGACGGGATAACCTCGGTCCTTCAGAGACTATTTAACTTCGTCTTACTCCAGGGAACAACGCCAGAGGCATGGAACAGAAGCGTGGTGGTACTCTTCTTCAAGAAAGGGGATGAAACCTTGCTGAAGAATTACTGACCCATCTCGCTTCTGAGTCATGTCTACAAGCTGTTTGCAAAAGTTATCACGAATGATCTCGCGGGTAGGTTCGATGACTTCTAGCCTACCGAACAAGCCGGTTTCTGAAAAGTGTCGGTACATATCGAGGTGCTGAAGTGCTTGTACAGAAACGCCACCATGTTGGTCCGAGTACAGGAGTGGAGTACGAGGGCGATTCCTCTGCAGCGAGGCATGAGGGAGATGTTATATCTCCGGATCTCCGAAACTATTCACCGCTGCATTGGAAGACGCTTTCAAACTCCTTGAATAGAAAGGATTCGGCACAAACATCAACGACGAGTACATCATTCAGCTTTGGTTTGCCGACGATATTGTGTGGTCATGGCAAAATCACTGGAAGAATTCGGCACAATGCTCGAAGACCTTATTCTCCCAAAAGGTAGGCTTTCGGGTGAACAACATGGAAAAACGAAGCTTTTGTCGAAAGCTTTTGTTGGTTAGGAGCTCGAATCTTGAGATTGTTGACAAGTATGTCTACCTCAGACAAACGTTTCAGCTAGGTAGAGAAAGAGTTCGAATCCAACTCGGCTGGGCAGCGTTCGGGAAACTACACAACATCCTTTCGTCCAAAATATCTCAGTGCCTAAAGACAAAAATCTACAATCTGTATGTGTTACCACTGATGACGGCTCGGGAACGCGGCCTCTCACTCAAGTTGCACAGCGTGCTTTGAAGAGGGCTATGCTCAGTTTTTCTGTACAAGAGACAGGGCATATTAGTACGCAGAACTGACAGACGATGGGGCAGCAAGGTTCTGGAGTGGAGGGCACGTACCGAAAAGCACAATGTGGACTTCATAAAGGTAGCAGGAAATCACTGGATGCAGACCGCTACCAGCCGGTCATATTGGAAATCATTGGGGGAGGATTATGTTCGGCAGTGGACGTCCTATATGGCTGAAATGATGATGATGATGAAGGTTTAACATCTGAGTAATGAACATTGAAATGAAAAGTAACATTTAAAGTAATGTTACAAAAATGAAATAAATCAATAACACAATTTGTACGAGTATTTTGAATCAATGTTTCGGATTGAGTTGTGGCAGAATTAAATAAAGTCACTTATTGACTTTCTTAGTACAAGTATTTTGAAGCAATGTTTCGCAGTGAGTTGTGGCAGAATTAAATAAAGTCACTTATTCAGTTTTGCCAGGTAAATTTTACAACAAACAGAGTTGTAATTTATGGTCAATAGTTTCACTAAACTGAAGATATCTTTGGAAATATCATAGATATTGCCACGAGAGTAAGACCAAAATATAGGTAACACTTTCTACTATACAAAAAGTGGAAAAAGTGATTTTTGCCAAAAGTGTCAGTTATTTAATTCTGCCACGACGGTGACGATATGTCTAACATTTATAAATCACTTTTTAGGGTTTAACGGTGAAACGGCGCTATGTAACGCAGTTTCATGTTAAGGTAATTCGTATATCTACTAAATAACTCTACTCAGTGGTTTGGGTCAAAATTGGCTCTTTGTGGAATACACACCCACAACCATTAAGTTGGTATTCAGCGACCCACTAAACCAAATTTCCATAGACTAATGATTAATATTATAACAAGAAGCTCTAACTCTATAAACATACCAATTTTATTCTAAGAATGCAGAAAGAAATGATTTGATGCTCTTCATTCAAATGCAGACTACGTCGCGTTCTTTGATCGAGTTATGAATTCATCCACGGCGCCATGTTGTGACTCATCTCTGAGACGTGTCTCCTGTTGTCCAATTAGTTTACCCCCTTGTAGTCATAGATGATAAACTTTGTTTTCATGGAATCGTGACTCAAAATAGAACAACGCCAAAGAGAGGAAATGATATCATCCATTTTCGGTCCGAACTTTTTACGTGTTTTAGATGACATGTTTTTGGCTAGTCTGCAAAAAACTTCGCTGAAATGAATCAACTGTTTAACCTCTCGTATGCCGTGAACTGATCAGTCACACAATGGCTTTTGCATTGTTGGTTTTGCAATCTCGGTATGCGACTCTATCAAGTGTGAAGAATGAGAAAATGTCTGAAAACTTAATACCCATGAGTATGACTTCGGCATCCGATTCCAAAGATCAAATTGATACATGGCTGAAACATTCCAAAGATGGCAGTTGACACACCTTTGATTACCCATTTTTAGATGTGCCTACACGAACTTTTCTGAATTAAAAAACAATGGATAGGTTCTACAACTTTGGATCCTGTAGTTTTGTCGGAACTACCAGCCATTATTGGCACCTGCGGCCATTCAGTCGAAGCCTATAAATCCGCCGAATGGCTGTTCCACGTGGGAAGTGCCACTTGCGCCGCATTCCTCACGGCAGGGAGGCATTGGTAGGTTAACTAGCTGCCGACACGTCATAGGGTGCTTTACGATGAACCTAGCTATTAACGTCTTCGTCGTTAAAATTACATATTGGGCAATTCAAACAGGTGTAGGCAATTCGTTGTGGTTTATATTTCAAAGGTATTTTTGATAGTTCATGTGTGACCAGTTTTGAAACAACAATAAAACCCGTATTCACAAACGAT